ACTCCACTTTGATAAAAAACTCCATCATCTATAATGCCAGAAAAATGTATAACCACTTGCCAATTACTGTAAGAATCATACAGCCTATCAAGAAATTTAAGCATGCTGTAAAAGCTTTGCTGATTGACAAGGCATATTATACCTTAGCAGAGTACTTTGCTGATCAATTTTGATTTTGTTTACCATCATTTTATCTACTCTGTTTATCATGTCAATAGTTGTGTTTTTAAATGTTTTCAGTATATAGGAATGACAACACAGCATCTCGAAAATCGAATTATAAAGGCCACAAATACACTAAAAATGCCTGCACAGCGCTTCATAAACATGAAAAAAACGAAAACCACAATTTTGATTTCAAAAACACAAAAATTCTCGATAGGGATTCTAATTATAATAAACTGACTGTGAAAGAGATGATTGCTATTAAAAAAGAAACCAATGCTGTTAATGACAAACAAGATATACAATATTTGAGCTGTATATATTATAACTTAATTTATACGTAGAACTACACTACTATAACCTTCATGTTTGGTGCTTGAACGGTTTCCAACAGTTCCATAAGTTAAACACAAGATAAAGAAATTTTTAAAAAATATACCAAAAAATTAAATTCCATTTGCATTCCTTTTCATAAAATAAACCATTTGACTTTGAAGATTCTACCAAATAAGTTCGAGGTATGTACTATTTTTAATATATTGTCGCGGCTTTGGGTTGCCTGACAGAAATCTTGGGTTCGTTGTTCGTTTCGTTTATTCCAAAAATCAAAGTCCAATTAACACAGCAATAATTTATTCCACAATACACTCTGACACTAATTACTTTAATAACTAACTCAACAATTAAACTCTTTACAATCACTATTTAAATCGTATCACAGTCGAACTGAAACTAACTTACAAATCAATGCCGGCCTTCTTATATATCCCTAAATCTATTCCTGTAAAATCTAGAATACACACGATAATCTAATTTTCCAGATTAAAGTAGAATAATTCGCTAGATTCTAGTATTTTCGCCATCGATTCTTGACAGCCTGGCGGATGCCTATTTTAGCAACAACATTTAGCATTATTGTAACAATATTTTGAAAATTTTTCTTTTAATTAAAATGTGTTTTCCGTAGGTTATAATTGTAATAACAACCTTTTGATAAAGCCAAAATAAAATAATGGCGAAACGTCAAGCTAACTAGAAAAAAGCCTTTTTGTTCCATACCAATAAACCTATATCCAAGAATAAAAAAACTATAATTAAATGTTTTCTTGTGTTCATTTTTCCAGTCTTTCCTACAATTTATTAATTATACCGGGTGGTCCTCCGGGAATGACATCGATTGCTTATGGGAAAACTGTGAAAGGTAAAAATTTGAAAATTTGGCAACATAGCAATGTCGATGGGGGACATCCAGGTAAAATATTTTCAAGATGGCGGCATTTCCGGTCATACCGGAAGTTGATACCAACTCGGTTATTTTAAATAGAACACCCCATATATTAATGTATTTTTGGATTCTACATAAAATTCTGAGCAGATTTCATGTAATATACCCTATACCTAAGTTCAACTGTTTTGGAAATATTGACAGTTGAAAATTGACTTTTTGCAACTTTGACAAGCTGTAAAACCTAATTGGTTAATTTTAGAGGAAAACCGATTTCACATTCCTATCTTAGATTTTGATAAACTATCATTTGACACCAACTTTGAACTTAAACGGAGATTAAATTTAACTGAAATTTTTAATCATGGATTTAATTCAAAGTTGATGTCAAATGATAGTTTATAAAAATCTAAGATAGGAATGTCAAATCGGGTTTCCTCTAAAATTAATTGTTCAGGTTTTACAGCCTGTCAAAGTTGCAAAAAGCCCGAAGGGCCGGAGTTATATGCGAGTCCGGCCCGAAGGGCCGGAGTTATATGCGAGTCCGGCCCGAAGGGCCGGAGTTATATGCGAGTCCGGCCCGAAGGGCCGGAGTTATATGCGAGTCCGGCCCGAAGGGCCGGAGTTATATGCGAGTCCGGCCCGAAGGGCCGGAGTTATATGCGAGTCCGGCCCGAAGGGCCGAAGTTATATGCGAGCCCGAAAGGTCGGAGTTATATGCGAGCCCGAAAGGAAAGTAAATTGACTTTGGAATGTCGGTTTTCTTAAGATCTTTACTTTTTCGTATTTAAAATGTTTTTAATATGGCAACACTGCTTTTGGCTAACTTCATTCAAGGAAGCCTTGTAAATAAATATTTGTCATTTTTGACAGTCGACTATTTTCAATTGACGTTTTTTATCCAGTTTTTCCTCGAATTTTCCACTTTTCCGGGCTGTTTTTGATCGGGAAAACTGTACGTAAGTACGAGACTTTGAGTTTTCTTCATTTTTCGTCAAAAAATTTCCAGTTTTACAATGGGGTAAGTGTCAAAAACTCAATTCTTATCAAGCAGACCTTGGAATGTTATTTTCCAGTGGTTTTTCTTTGGATTTTTTGCTTTTCCAGCCGTTTTCAAGCGAAAAAAACCGGTTTAAAGTACGAGGATTTGAGTTTTTTTCATTTTATGGTAAAAATTTCCAGTTTTTTAACGAGGTAAGTGAGAAAAACTTTAGTTTTATCAAATAGGCTTTGGAATGTTGGTTTTTCTTTGGATTTTCCACATATCCAGGGCTTTTGCGATTGGAAAAACCGATTTAAAGTACGAGGCTTTAAGTTTTCTTTATTTTTTGTCAAAAATTTCAATGTTTAAATTAGGGAAGAGGAAAAAATTACCAAAAGCCTTTTTTAGGGAATTTCAAGTACTTTTTTGGGGAATTTCAAGTTTTAAAATCATTATTGATTAAGCTTTTTCAATAAATTACTCATTTAAAATGATGAGGCAACACTGTTTTGTAACCAGCGGCAAAAAAAAATTGAAAATTTAACAACCCTGGTACAAAAAACTGTAGCAAACGTCAAAAAACTTGACGGCCTAAGTAGGCCTTGTAATTTTTGACAATCGATTTAAAATGGCGATATTTTGACAAAAAAAAAAAAAACAAGGCCCACTGTGAAACGTCAAATTTCTTTGACTTTTATTGTGTTATTATAACCGGTGTTGCCATATTAAGTAATATTAAAAACTTCATATAGGTGAAATCAATCAATCAATATTTCCAAAACAGTTGAACTTAGCTATAGGGTATATTACATGAAATCTGCTCAGAATTTTATGTAGAATCCAAAAATACATTAATATATGGGGTGTTCTATTTAAAATAACCGAGTTGGTATCAACTTCCGGTATGACCGGAAATGCCGCCATCTTGAAAATATTTTACCTGGATGTCCCCCATCGACATTGCTATGTTGCCAAATTTTCAAATTTTTACCTTTCACAGTTTTCCCATAAGCAATCGATGTCATTCCCGGAGGACCACCCGGTATATTGTTTCTGTTTCAACACCTATGTTTTTATTTAAGTTTTACTGCCTAAGTTTAGTTTGTGTTTTATTTCCAAGTTTAAGGCTCCTGTTTTTCGCTAAGTAATTACTATACCTATTTGCATGTTATGTTAGCTTATTTTTAGTTTTGAGGATTCGGCTTTGTCGATAAAATGTATTTGCACTTTTCAGAAAATAAAGCTTATTTGATTTGATTTGATTTAAATATCTCAAAAAATAAGCTTTATTGTCTGAAAAGTGTTACTATCGATTTGTTGTCATCTTCATGGGCTAGTGGTGTTGAAATTGAGTTGGGTTTAGACACTGAGCCACTACATTTCACATATAAGCTCAAGAGCTTACATAAGGAATTCCTGCCAAGCCTATTGTGGTTATTTTTTCTAAAATTTTCTATAATTCTAAGAGAGCAATAGTTGTGAGATCTAGAAGAGCAGTGGTTATTCCCAAAATTCCGAGCTGTCTGAGAAGAGGTAATGCTATCCGCTGACTAATATTTAAAGCAGTGATAACATGATCATTCTGATTATATGATGTTGTCTCTTGAGTAACCTTATAGCAAATCTCCCTGAGGGGTGCATTTGAACAAGCAATACCTCTGATGTCATAGAGCCTTCCGTCTAGAAGCATATTCAAGAGGCCAGAGCAACCTCTTGCCGCTTGATCCCCCATAACAAGAACCCTCCGTTTTCCATTTGTGTTATTAGCCGCACGACACTCAGGTGGTAGAGCAGTGACGGAATTTAGTTGAGAATTTTCAACTGAGCCGTTATTCAGGGCTCCTGGAGGGATACGTGGAGCAGCCACAGCCGAGTCTGAGACAACGGAAAATTTCACTGAGTTCCTAAGCTCATATAAGTCTTTGCTCGCCCTCTTAAAATCTTCGACACAAACCTCGTTTTTTTTTATAAGGTTTCTATACTTGTCATAAGGTTGCCCTTAAGACACATAAGTTCACTTATTTCTTCCTGCTGGCCCTGCGCCTCAGTCAGCAACTGGCTGTTCCTCTCCATCAGCTCCAAAATCTCCCTATTTAAACTTCTTTTTTCTTCTTCAAGACTCTTTATCTTTTCCTCAGCATGCCTGTCGGCAGCAATAATTTTGAGGTAAGATTATTAAAAAAAAATGCATTTTATACAAAAATATTTTTTACAAGAACAAAGCGAATACAAAAGTAAATATCTAAGCTCACCTGAAATATGGAGATTCTTTCTCAAATGGAATGTATGTTGATTTTAATCTGTCAATTATTAATTATTTATAATTGCTTTTGCAAAATATAATTATAAATAATTAAATTTGATAGACACTACATTTTATTTAGGGATAGTTTGTTTACACTCAATACACATTTATAGATTAAATATAAATTAAAAATATGATACACAAAAATATACAAGTAACCATTGATTGACTAGCATTGGTGAGATTCAAGGTGTTCAACAAAAACCCGAAAGAATAATTCTTTAAATTTAAACAATGTCTTTAAAAGATAAATTGAGCATGTCTAAATTTTCCTCATAAGGTTTTAAAATATACATTGAATATTAATTCATCTAAATTTTTAGGATTCTAATAGCTGGATGCATATTTTAGTGAATGGCGAACACCTTTCTAATGGGGACCAGATGACTAGAAAAAGAAATTCTTATACAAATGTGACATCGAACACCTTGAATTAAAAAAAAAAAAAAACATTAAAAAACAACAACAAAAAAAGTCAAATAATCTTAAGCAGCCTACTCACTAGGGAATATGATCCTTGGTAAGAAATGCATAGACTGTTTTATTCAATTTAAAAATGTGATTCAATAGCAAATATGTTGAGCCACATGACAATGTTCCCTAGTGAGTGCCTTGATTTATGACGTTTTTAGAAAGGAAACATAAAAATATTACATAAACCTGACAAACACTATAATACAATATATACTAACATATAATATATAAAATGAAAAGTTCCTAAGCTCATATAAGTCTTTGCTCGCCCTCTTAAAATCTTCGACACAAACCTCGTTTTTTTTTATAAGGTTTCTATACTTGTCATAAGGTTGCCCTTAAGACACATAAGTTCACTTATTTCTTCCTGCTGGCCCTGCGCCTCAGTCAGCAACTGGCTGTTCCTCTCCATCAGCTCCAAAATCTCCCTATTTAAACTTCTTTTTTCTTCTTCAAGACTCTTTATCTTTTCCTCAGCATGCCTGTCGGCAGCGAGAGCTGAGTCCTGAAAATCAACAGAACTCCTCTGGTCGATTTTTGAAATTCTCCTTCTCTTTATTGGTAGTCTCCAAATGTCTTATCCTGGTCATCATTTCTTCCCTCAAGGCCTCTAACTCCTGCCCTAAATTATCAATTTGAGTATCTTTGTTGTTTGATTCTACCCTAACCCTGTCATATACCTCCAAAAGTACTTTGAAATAATTTCCCACACATGAATATGAGATTTCTTTGGCTGAGAGCAATGGGCTCTTTCACTAAAATTTAAATACGTAATTTAAGTATAAAATCTTAAAGGAGGGACTATTTTAGGCATATATACCAAAAAAAAAAATTCTACAACGTTAAATAAGTTTTTTACAGCCACTTCAAAGTGGCTAAATTTAAAATGATTAAAAACGCGGCAACTCATGACGTCACATAAATAATTTTCATTTGGGCCAATCAAAATGTAGAATCTCGTCCCTCCTTCGAGGCGCAAATAACCGGCAACGCTGTCGCTGATATCTGCCTGCGCTGGCCCATTCGTTCGCACTGCATCTTGAAGTCTTGGACAAGATTGAGGTTAAATATTTGTTTATTTTTAAAAAAATCACATTTTCCATTTCAATTTCTTTTTAATTACTTTAATTATGGTCGTTACGGAACCAGGATTCGAAAAGGCGTCATCTGATAACCTTCCTATGGTTGATGCCGAAATGGTGAACGATTTTTTTGTGTCAAATTCAAATTTTTTTAGTGCAGAAGTTAAAAATGTGAAAACAACAAGGTAAGTCGTTAAATTATTATTATTGTATTCAAGAATTTTAAGATTGTTGTACCAACTAGGGTAATATTTCATGATTTAAAACGTGCAGCTTAAAATAAATTAGTACGTACTTATTTTTAACTTTAGTTTTTTTTTTAACAATAGTGAGTCATCTCCGAGTTGGTTTTAACTCTAGGGTAAACGTGTCCAGTTGCAATGTTCACCCTGGAGTTATACTTAACCCGGGGAGACTTGTTATTCAGAAACCGGCCATAGAAAAATTATAAACTGAATGCCTACCACAGTTGTTTGGTTAGTGGAAATGGTACCTATTAGAAGTAGGAAATACATATATTCCTTTCGTCCAAAACAAAAATATTCTGATGATATACCATACCTATTTATCATATTATGCTAGTAAATGTAGTTTTGCCTTTGTTAACTCATATCTAATTGATTCTTTTTTAATTGCAGGGCACAAAAAACATCATACGGTGACAATGCAGTAGGTTATGTACAGGTTAAAAAAGAAAACCATGTATGTTTCGTATTAGGAAGAATAACCCCAGAGCATAAGGTTCGAGACAAAGGATATTTTGTTGAAGCAGTAATAGATATGAAGGAAGATAAGGTGGTTAGCTGCGAATGTAAAGATTGTGCTGCTAGTGAAGGTAGGTATCTATTAACATTTAGGTCTTATAGAGCATCTAGTTTTTTTCAATGCAAAATATTTGTTTATACAAAGTTCGGGAAAGTTGTCTATTATTCTTCCTTTTCTAATGTACCTTTTATATTCAGGCTTGCAATAAAAACAGGCAGATTATTTAAATACCTGTACCAAAATAATACTTTGGTGTGGGTAGTTTCCAAAGGTCCCCTATGTAAATTCATGTATTTTGTTTATTGATTGTTTAAAAGGACAGGTAGCACTTTACTGTTGTAACTCTAATTCCCAGGTCAGAGTAAAGTACCTATTTAAATTCTGTGAATATGATTATAGGTATATACTTGTAAAATCATTAGCAGATAGGCTCATCAATATTTAAATTTATTACAATATTTTTCTTACCTTTAACCTCGCCTTTAACATTTTCAAAGAACTTAAGACCTCAAATGGATTTATAATTATTATGATATGTATTATGGTCAATGTGGTTTTGTTATAGACTACCATTTTGAACACAAATGAATTACCCAGAAATATAAAAGTTTATTTTGATATAATGCACTCTATTAGTCAGTATTAGTAGTTAGTAAATTAATAGTTCAATACTGGATAAGTCTATCATAAAGGGTTTCAATAAAAAGAAAAAAAAAAGATGCTTAATATCCTCTCATCAATAATACTACCCTAAAAATAATTAAAAAAGTCATATAAAAATTATAATTTACTTGAAATTAAAAAAAAAAAAACTTGGATTAGAGCTTTAAATTGAAATTGTGGCACTTTTATAGTGATAAAATACATTATAGGTTATTTTTTTTCACAGGCGGATGCAAACATGGAATTGCTTTTCTTTTGTGGCTGCACCGAAGAAGTGAATAGCCTGTGCCGTTACTTCCATAGCTTGCTACTGGCAAAAGTCAGCATTAGCCAAAATAGGTGATGCAAAGATGGATTTGCAATCCTTGATCAACAAACCAAGGCCACCACTTATCCCTCGAAATGGACAGCATTTAGAAGATATGCTTGTTCAGGCAAAAGCGAGTGCAACAGGACTTGATGGAAATATTTTTCTTCACATGGGCGTTACAGAAAAAACAACTATGTCAATGTTTCAGCTTATTTTATCATATAAAGAAAACGAACCGTCACCGTCACCTGAAGATTTTATTGAGTATATTCGTTCCATTATGACAGAGGATTTATGCAGAGAAGCTGAAAGATCTACAGTATCTCAAAGTAAATCTACAGAATGGTATGAACTGCGTTTTGGCCGAATTACAGCCTCAATAATTTATGAGGCATCCAGGTGTAAAACTAAAGAAGGTTCTTTAGTTGAGGCAATTTTAGGTGGAGCAAAACACATAGAAACTGATGCTATTGAAAGAGGTTTATTGTTGGAAAGCCAGGTTATTTCACAGGTGGAAAAACTAAGAAATATTAAAATAAACAATAGTGGTTTATTATTGCATAGGGACTATCCATTTTTGGGAGCTTCCCCAGATGGAATTAGCAATGAATATTGCATAGAGGTGAAATGTCCATCTGCTGAGAAAAATATCATTAGATATGTAGAAAATCAGGTAATAAAACCGAAATTCTTTTACCAACTACAACTGCAAATGCTTTTTGCAAAAAAATCGAAAGGACTTTTTTGTGTTGCGGCACCAAACTTCGAAGAAACCAAGGCAGTAAATATATTTGAAGTCAATCTAGATGAAGAAAAATGCTTAGAAATGATAAGTTTTGTTGAAATTTTTTGGAAAACACACATTTTTCCAGTTATGATTAAAATGTAATACATAATTTAAAATGCGTTCTTTAATATTTTTATCATTATAATTTTATTTTTTCACTTTTATTGGACATTTTCAGGCTAAAAAAATGTATGTACATATATCACAAAATTTTTATAGATAGGTACAGAGTGATCCAGTATAAAATGAACACCTCCCACACTTTCCACTAAAAAACCGATTAAAAAAAAAAAAATCAAAATAGCAAAATGGTGTATTTTGTTTCGAAAAATTTGAAAACGTTTTTCGAAATTCAATTACATTTTTTGTTAAAACGCTGTGGCTAGAAAAGTAATTTTTTTAAATGGAATAAAGATTAAAATCTATTTTTTTCTATTTTTCTTATTTCAAATATATATAGTTTGTCTATCTTTCTTTCAGTAATTTGTAATTTATTACTTTAAAATTAACAAAAAATATTGTAACACTCTTAAATTTTGCTTTTTATTAATTTTGGAGAGAAAAAAAGAACATATCTACCAAGGAATGTATGTAGGTACCGGGTGTTTTTTTATCTTTGATATCATTTTGATCACCTGTAACTTTTTTGTTTTTGAAGTTATCAAGGTAAACAAAAAAACAAAATGTAGGATTAATAGCTAAGTTTTTTTTCAAGTTACACATGAAACAAAACACTATCAATTTTTTGACATATAAGCCTGCATTATATTTTTTTAAATGGAACACCCTGTATATTATATGTGTGTTCGATAGAATATCTTATTCTGATTACAATGATATGACACACTTTATATTTTGCTCCACTCGTTTTCGACAAATCGGCTAAAATATATGAAATTTTTATATGCTCTCAATAATTCTCGTCCCAAATATCAGACCCCCGCCTAATAAGCTTCACTTTGAAAGTTTCATACTTCTGCCGATTTGTCAAAAACGAGTGGACCAAAATATGAAGTGGGTTACATAATTGTAATCAGAATAAGATATTCTATCGAACACACATAAAATATAAAGGGTGTTTCATTTGAAAAAATATAATATAGGTTTATATGTCAAAAAATTGATAGTGTTTTGTTTTATGTGTATCTTGAAAAAAAACTTGGCTATTAATCCTACATTTTGTTTTCTTAGTTACCTTGATAACTTCAAAAACAAAAAAGTTACAGGTGATCAAAATGATATCAAAGATAAAAAAACACCCAGCACATACACATGATTGTATCTCCACATTCAAAAACTAGTATGGGATTAGCCAATTTGAAATGTAACTGTTAATAATCACTGAAAAAAATTAATTTTAATATGTATTTTATTTAAATTGCATACCTACTAAATAATGGTTAATGGTTATTTGTCTTTCTATTGTGCATATATTTAAAATAAAAGAAAAAAATGGTATCAGGTGAAATTTGTGTTTTTTTTTTTAAATAAACTAAACCCTCAAGTAAATCATTAGTAAAATTCAACAATTTCTAGCATTCCATTCTTGATGAATGCATACATATAAAAAAAAGAAGTACCCATCCTAAATCCTTTAACAAGTTTTGAAGAAAAAAAAAATTGTTTATATTCCAAAAAATCTCATATTTTTAATCCACAAAAGTTTCCCTTCAGTTAGAATTTAAATTTGTCAAGGTATTAAAAAAACACTTTAGTCTTGAGGTGTATACACTATTTTATGTTCTTTAGGGGGATCAAAAGTACACTTTTATTCCCTGTTTCATTTTAATCCTCGGGAAATAAAGTTAAATTTAATCCTGGGGATTAAAAACCCACTTTGCTTCCTTAAAACAGGGATTAAAAGGGTACTCCTAATCCCTAAAGTGCATGAAATGATGTGTAGGAACTAGGAACTTTAACTTTATGCAAGGGATGTTAGGTCGATCACAATTTAATATCAAGTCAAAAATATTCAGGTTTCTTTGAAATTCTAATAAATTTTACATTAGAAATAAAACAAATTTTTACAAATGAATTAATTTTATTAGAAAAATATGACTATTTCTTAAAACTAGAAACCTACATCAGCTATACTACTTAATTTTTATCAATATTTCTACAAATCTTAAAACTAAATAATATCACATTTTTCCAAAAAAAAAAAAAAAAAATCTTATACAAAATAATTTGTAGGAACTGTATGCAAGAGATTTGGTTTTATGTTAGGTTGATCACAATTTAATATTTTTCAAGACAAAAATATTTAGGTTTTCTAAAATTCTAATAAATTTTGAGTTCGAAATAATAGGCATTTCTACAAATTTATAAATTTTATTTTAAAAAAAATGTTTGACTATTTCTTAAAACTAGAACCACCTTATACAACTAAATTCTTATCAATACTTCTACATATCTAAAAACTAAAAAAAATAATTTCAGTGTTCTACTAATTTTTTACTACAGGCTCTTGGAAATTTATCAATGCACAAGCAATAATTATTATGTGATCTAAGAGAGGCAATATATTAGTATTTATGCAAGAATGCATGCCCAGCATATGAAATTCTCTAACTCTTCTGATTACTCTCTCCACATGAATTCTAAGAGCAGCTATTCTCTTGGCTTCTTTGACATCTTCCTTGGTACTTTTTTTGCCTGCAGAAACACTAGGGGGCCTTACTAATTTGCACTGCTTGGGCATTAGTAAAACATCTATTTGCTTAAAGCCTCTATCTGCCATTACAGTTATATTATTTGGAAGCTGTTCTAAATAATTACTCGAAACTATAATATTTTTATCAGTCATACGACCCCCAAATCCTTCTGAGATAAAATTGATAAACCCATTTGGAGTACAGGAAATCAAATATTTCACTGTGTTGCATTTTTTATATTCAGACCAAGTCAAGCTTTGTTTCAGAGGATCTGTGGGTTTCTCAACCTCTATTTCTAAACAGTCTATAATAGACTGGACATTTGAATATCGATATCTAAATGATAATGGTAAAAAACGTTTCACAACATTTTTTTCAGGCCAAAATATTTGCCATTTTCGGAACAGAATCATTAATAATATTGGATACATAAGTAACACTAATGCCAAAATCGGCTGCCAACACAAAATGTACATCATTCATCCTTATTTTTTTCAAGGTAACTAGTACATGGTCATATCTCAAATTGAAGTTACTTTGTGATAAAAAAGTTGTCAAAAAATAAACGTCTTTCGGCAACCCAAGATAAAAACGACTATTTGTCTCCATTAAATTAATTGTACTCTTTCTTCGAATGATTTGAGAACATTTACCATCGTCTTGTTCTCTTTCATTTCCAGAAGATGAACTTGAGGACTGAGACGATGGTAAAAAGTCTGAAGGTAGACTGGAATTGGAAGATTTTGAAGAAAATTTTGAAAAGGGTGAGTCATTCAGATTTGCATGTATTTTGCTCAATTCAAGAAAAGGTTCTTGAAGAGTCATTGTGCTCTTACATTCTGTTTTTATCGGAATGGTATTAATTCCACAGCTACGAAAACTCTTTTTTATGTTGACTTGTAATTTTACATTTTTTTTTAATAATGTAGCCTCATTTTGTGTTGACAACTCCAGTTTAACGCTATCACTTACAAAGATACCTGAGGGTGATTTTTGCTCCAACCTTGGTTTTGACTCTTGGGGTGAAATTCTTTCACTTGAAAACACTCCAGAGGGTGATTGTGATCCATGGCCACCTGAAGCTAAGCAATGTTTCGAAGGAGTGGACATTAAAATTTCTTCCGGTTCAACAAAAAGCATTTTCTTTACTGCTTTTATTCTTTTCACTTGACTTTGATGACTAGAAGATGGGTTTTCCAATGACCCAAGGAACTCAGTTTTTCTTTTTTGGGCAGACTTTGAAAGCTGACTTCTTAGTGCACATGTGGGCGGACTGTCCAAATATAAATGAGGCACAACATTGGGCTTCAATATAATCTTAGATCCCATAGTTTTAAACTTCATCCAATTAGATGCATCATCTTGAAGCTGAAACAAAAATTAAATAAATATAATCTTTATTGTCAATTGAAATATTAGCTCATAAAAAATAAAGATCATCTTTAGGTTCAAATTAAACAATTGCTTAACTAGGCCCTTTTAGTTGGTATTGATAATTTGTTTCCTGGCAGGTAGTAAATAAAAGGTGCTAACCCCTTTTTGTTATCCTTATGTTAATTCAAACTCAGACCCCTGAAGATAGTTGGAATATTGGTTCTCAGCTAATAATGAATATTAAATAGGTTGTATCTGGGTTGGGGTGTGCGGTTCAGGTAATAAGTTAGTAATCCCCAATATTTTAATATTTTTGGAAAAACTCAAAGAAATTTCAAACAAAAACTCATTAATTACAAAGTGACCAGTGTGGTCATTTTATCATGATAATATTTTAAACTGTGATAATTTCTTTATTTAAAAGTTATTGAAATAAAAAAACATACTGTGGGGTTGTTTCCAAGTTTTTGATAGCATGCACAAAAAAAAAACAAAATACTAATATATTCTGATAGGTAGGTATGCACACAAATAGCATTTTTTTAAACGGAACACCCAGTTAATGTCTAATTTGTTTGATAATTGTTTTTTGTCCATTCTATCCAAAACTTGGAAAAAAAACCTACAGTATGTTATTTTATTAAATAACTTCAGTTTGAAATGTTATCAAGATAAAATGACCTCACTGTATAAGTTACAGCTGAAATACATAACAATTAAATCAAAAACTGCCAAAGGTCTATGGCAAAAATGATCTTATTACATTTTAATAAATGTGTTATGATTCATTGTGCTGATACACAGATTAAATTAGCTAATAGTATCACAAAGAATGTTTATTAGATATAGGTTTATAAACTAAAAAACTACTTACATTAAAGTGATCTTCGCAAATCTTATCATAGGAGCTCCGACTCCAAGAACTTAATTTATTTTCTAAGGCTTTTTCCCACATCATTCTTCTCTCTGATTGAAGGTCCGGTGGAAGGCTTAAAAAGATTTTTTCGGGTGCATTGGTATTTGTATTTCCACAACACTTCACAATACATCTTTTCTTTCTTTTAGGATCCATTTCACGGTTGGTTAATTAAAAAACAGAGAATTGAAAATTCACAAGAAAATGAAACACAACACACAACTCGACAAGAGAACAAAACAATAACAAACAACTGTTTGCGTCTTGCGAGCAGCTGATTCACTAGCTGTCGAACGGCTCGGCGTTGCCGTTTAGTAAAAGGTTCAAATGCGCTGTTGTCGGTTGTGACTCAATGTAGTGCGACGTAAAAAAAATAAATAAAACTAAATATAAAAAATAGGTTTAAATTGTGTATGAGCATAATTTAAAAAAAAATATGAAATATTGAATCTATAACTAATTATTTTAACAATTTTTGATGATATTTTGCCAACATTTTAGAATAAAATCTATTACAAATTTTAAATGTTGACAACTAGTGGCAACACTGTTAAAATGTGAGCGGTGACGTCACTGAAATAAATTCTGGGTTTTTATTTGGAGGTATTTCTATTTTTTCTATTTTCTCAAAAAGTACTTTGAATTTTTCAAATGTAAAAATATAGAAAATTCTATTTTTAGCTGCTTTATCCAATTATGCCAATTTCAAAAATTAGTGAAAGAGCCCATTGCGTGAGCCTCTGTTGTGCTGATTTTTGCACATTTTTTGTATAATGGAACTTTACATGTATCACAATAAGCTGCAAATACTTCGTCCTTATTTGGCCTGGATTTAAGTACGCAAGATCTGTTGCATTCAGAACAATTGAGGGGATTCATGATAATTATTTTTTAAAGCAAATTGATGTTTTTCGGATCTCTTGTTTTTATTATTTTTGGCGCACTAAATTCGAATTATTTGTTGTGTAATATGTACGTATGCGGATTTTTTTTTCCTACGTGAGTGTTATAAAAATGTTGAGTTTCTCCCAAGAATTAGTCTAGGAAAATAGTCGAAAAATACATGTATTGCAAAAAAAAAATTCCTACCCAAATGAACTTTTCAGGGATGATAGGGGGCGGACGGGTGATCATAAAACCGAAAATATCAAACATTCACCCCTCTGACGTTTTGCGCTATAGGGGTTGAAAGTGCGCCATTGGCGATTACTTGGTACCTATTGATTTTACAAAAAAATGTTTCAAATAAAAATTGTGCAACATTATTTGATCTACAATGTTTATCTAAAGACTTTTTTGATTAAGGGCCGTCTGTGGTCATAAGGGCCGTTTGAAATTTTATAATGAAAATGAAAAATTTTAACCAACGTGAAAAAAATTTCTACAACTCATACAACATTTTTGCTTTATGAAGTTTTTACTTGACATTTCCTACAATTTTTCCTAATCAACTTTTTTTGTAACTCACCCTCATTCAGCGGGGGGACACTTCCCTCGGGGAAATTTTAGTTTTTAGGGGTATATATTAATTTTTTTTTCTTTTCTCGCCTTTAGTGCGTATAAAAAGTTGCAATGAACATTGTATTAAAAGGATTTTTTTTCACCACCTTTTTGTTTTTAGGGGTAGATCGCCTATTTTCAACTTTACAAAAAAAATGTATCGAGAAAACTTGTTTATTTTATTATTTTGAGCAACTTTTCTCTATAATTTTTTTTTGTAAAGTTGAAAATAGGCGAACTACCCCTGAAAACAAAAATGTGGTGGAAAAAAAATCCTTCTAATACAATATTAATTGCACCTTTTTATAAGCACTAAAGGCGAGAAAAGAAAAAAAAATTAATATATACCCCTAAAAACTAAAACTTCCCTAAGGGAAGTGTCCCCCCGCTGAATGGGGGTGAGTTACAAAAAAAGTTGATTGGGAAAAATTGTAGGAAATTTAATCTTATAAAACTTTTATAAGGAAATTTTTTTTGTGAAAAAATAAATAAACTTTAAACTACCCCTATTGAAAAACGGCAGGGGTTGAGTAAAAACTTCATAAAGCAAAAATGTTGTATGTGTTGTAGAAAATTTTTTAACGTTGGTTAAATTTCTTTATTTTCATTAAAAAATTTCAAACGGCCCTTATGACCACAGACGGCCCTTAATCAAAAAAGTCTTTAGATAAACATTGTAGATCAAATAATGTTGCACAATTTTTATTTGAAACATTTTTTTGTAAAATCAATAGGTACCAAGTAATCGCCAATGGCGCACTTTCAACCCCTATAGCGCAAAACGTCAGAGGGGTGAATGTTTGATATTTTCGGTTTTATGATCACCCGTCCGCCCCCTATCATCCCTGAAAAGTTCATTTGGGTAGGAATTTTTTTTTTGCAATACATGTATTTTTCGACTATTTTCCTAGACTAATTCTTGGGAGAAACTCAACATTTTTATAACACTCACGTAGGAAAAAAAAATCCGCATACGTACATATTACACAACAAATAATTCGAATTTAGTGCGCCAAAAATAATAAAAACAAGAGATCCGAAAAACATCAATTTGCTCGAAAATAATTGAAGAAAGAGAAAAAAAGTGTCACTTCGCAAACTGTCATGAGTGTGCGAACATCATCATTTTTTGACAGTTGGAGAAAAAAGTATCTACAATTATATTTTTGTATAAAATATTAAATAGCATGATCAATGCTCCTTTTTTGTTAAACCAAATTAAATTTTATGCTCCGACATATTATCCATTCACAATCCGATGTCCACAGGTACAGGTAAATTTATCACCTCATCCTATCAAATAGCATTGGAAGGTGATAAATTTACCTGTACTTGTGGACATCGGATTGTGAATGGATAATATAGAACGCGGAATCCATTGAGCTTATACACTGATAATACTCGAACTAATTACATACTACAACAACTCACCTGTTATTGTAATGTGTAAATTATACAACCAAATGCGCTTGCAATTTGTTAGGTGGAATTTAGGATCTGTAAGTAGGCTGAAATTAATTGTTAATAAAATATTAGAATAAATGTAGATCTTAATTCTTAATGTTAAGTAACTCTTAATATTTTTGCTTTCACTTGGGTCAGTCTTCTACCATACTCTGTAACTGAATGCAAATCTGTAGAGTTTGTAATAAATAAATAAAATAAAAATCAAAATGAAATCACAGCACAGTGAAGTAAATATAGTGAACTTGAAAAGTGCATCGAATTTGGTTCACTATATCTGAGCCCCCATACTAATTTTGAAATTCCGGCGCTTATGAATAAACAGTAAAAAATTATATCGTCTTATGGGAAATTTTAATGGGAATTTGGAAAAGCGTTCGTTATAATCAAGTGTTTACTTCAAACGGATTTACTGTAACTCATACTATATTTTATTTTCTAGCTAAATATGAATGAGAAGCATTTAGAAGAAAACTTCGCAGCTCTACTTGAAGACGTGATTACCCAAAAACCTAAAAGGGCTGGAGATTTTATTACAAGGTTTGTTATTTGAAATTGAAAATTACTTCTAACTGATTTTTTTGTTCTTTTAAGGTGTTACCTATCGAGTCCACCATCTAGAGAAAAATTCAAAGTTGATTTTGCTCAATATATTTCCAATAAGATCGCATCATCTAAAGACGGAGATGCTGAGGAAGAGGTAGAAGAGGAAAGAGTGGCTTTATGAGGCTAGTGTACTCAGTAAATATCACTTGAATTAAATAAATTGTAATTGTTTTCCAATGCAAGACTTTTATTGAATACTGAGTTTGTAAGTTTCCAGTATTTTTGTCCAAAGGATCCACTTCAAATTAAACACAAATCCTTTTTATATTTCAAGGTATAATTTATTTTTCTTACACCGCTAGAATTTGCTTTATATAAATTTTGTTCACAGTGGAAACTCTATATTAAATGGATAAGTTTTATCTTTATTATTCTGAACAAATACTTATACTGCTTTTCAAAGGTTAGAAGACAGTAAAAAAGTACACTCCTGATTTTATGAATAAACAAAAAAATAATCTTAAACATAATGTCCTCAAATTATTGCACACTCTTGAACTTGAAGCAGCTTTAATAAATATTTTTGTATGTTTTTAGATGCAATAATTTTGAGGTAAGATTATTAAAAAAAAAATGCATTTTATACAAAAATATTTTTTACAAGAACAAAGCGAATACAAAAGTAAATATCTAAGCTCACCTGAAATATGGAGATTCTTTCTCAAATGGAATGTATGTTGATTTTAATCTGTCAATTATTAATTATTTATAATTGCTTTTGCAAAATATAATTATAAATAATTAAATTTGATAGACACTACATTTTATTTAGGGATAGTTTGTTTACACTCAATACACATTTATAGATTAAATATAAATTAAAAATATGATACACAAAAATATACAAGTAACCATTGATTGACTAGCATTGGTGAGATTCAAGGTGTTCAACAAAAACCCGAAAGAATAATTCTTTAAATTTAAACAATGTCTTTAAAAGATAAATTGAGCATGTGTAAATTTTCCTCATAAGGTTTTAAAATATACATTGAATATTAATTCATCTAAATTTTTAGGATTCTAATAGCTGGATGCATATTTTAGTGAATGGCGAACACCTTTCTAATGGGGACCAGATGACTAGAAAAAGAAATTCTTATACAAATGTGACATCGAACACCTTGAATTAAAAAAAAAAAAAAAAAACATTAAAAAACAACAACAAAAAAAGTCAAATAATCTTAAGCAGCCTACTCACTAGGGAATATGATCCTTGGTAAGAAATGCATAGACTGTTTTATTCAATTTAAAAATGTGATTCAATAGCAAATATGTTGAGCCACATGACAATGTTCCCTAGTGAGTGCCTTGATTTATGACGTTTTTAGAAAGGAAACATAAAAATATTACATAAACCTGACAAACACTATAATACAATATATACTAACATATAATATATAAAATGAAAAGCTTTATTAAATTTATAATATATATTTTTTTATCTGTTGCCCACAAAGCATTATTTGTTATACATACATTCATTCTTTATTCTAACTTTGCACGAAGACTAATTTTGTAAATTTAGCGCAAAAAAACTGCGGAAGATATGTTTACTTCTTATGCATGGAGTATTTTATGTGCAATTTGCAAAAGCAAACATTCGAGTCACACTCAAAAAATTTGCCTTTTCTCAAAAAATAGTTCCTACTTTCATATACATATTTGAACAATAGATTTATTTATAATTATTAATTATTTACGAAACAAACATTTTACCATATCAATAAATAAATTCGGCTATGTACAATAAATTAAAGGAAGACGCACCAAATTCATCACAAAACCATCACCACCCTGGAATTGTGATGATTGTGATGGCTGACGTGGTGCTGCGGACTGTCCGGGTTTTGTGGCACCGTTTCAACTTTTGTGTGACCATCTTCAGTACCGTTCCATTGATGATGGTTACTTATTTCAGCCATACCTGAAACAATCATTATAAAACATATTTTTTAAGTCTATGATTCTTGCCTTTGAGCGATTCACAGTGTTCACTGGTAACTGGCACAGTGGTGACTTGATGGTGCATAGTAACTGGGACCGTATTCATTTGGTGATGCTGATAATCCTGTGAAGTACCATCACTTGTGGGGCTCCTACTGTTCACTGGTGTTGAATTATGCGACCTATGATAAATATTTCATTATTGTTTTTAAGTTTAAGAAATTAGTTGCTTACCCCCACATAAGTACAGTTTGCCGACTAGGCATATTATCTCCCTGGTTATTGGTAGGTATAGGAGAAAAATGCTGTGGTGTTCCAATGGGGTGACTTCCAGGACTATCCTGCGGCTGCATTAATGGAGTGTCTTGTTTGATTTCTTCTATCTTTGGTGTTATAAGGGCTTGTTGGGGAGATGAAGAGTGCTTTTTTAGGGCATCCTGAAAAGAGGACTTTTAGATTAAGGTGAAGAGAGAAACATCTTATATTTGGGATATTTGAAGCAAGAAGGAGGATAATTTTTGACTTTCTTTGGAGGTTTGACAACTGTTCTTCAAGAGTAACAGCTAAGGTTGAAACATTTTCTTTTTGATTATAGTCAATGAGTGCCAATATTGGCCAGGCATCATTAAACTTTATTTTTAAAATAAAAAAAAATGGTTGTATGCTGGTTGAAAAAACCCATAAAGCATCTATCAAAATGATTTATTGCCTACATATCAGTCTGAATTAGACCATCCTCGTTCTTCAGGACCATACATGAAAATCATCTCACATCGACTGTAAACCAAAATTTGATTCCCAACGGCTGCATTTAACCAGTTTTTTAAAATTCAAAAGAGGATATGCCTACTACTTTCAAAATCAAATTAAGGAGGATCCGGTAACTTCTGTACTTTTTTAGATATTGTACTTCAAAGATACGTGCAACTGCAAGTCTTTGTCTACTGTGGACAGAAATAATCAGATAGGGCTGGATTGGTTTGGGTTAGTATTGTTGAGCATATGATGAGAATGGGAGTTGAGAAGCAAATTATTTTTTAATGTAAAGTATAGATACAGTAGTTGATACCATTATAGCATTATCACACTTAACATCTTTCAAATTATCGTACTCCTAATCGCTAGCGGTATAGGGGTGTTATATCGCAAAAGGTAGAAGGAAATAAAGTGCCTGATCCCTAATGAAAATGATCGATTCTCCGAGTTTTTCAGGTGGCGCCTTCTTGTTGAAACCGCACAGGATACCCCCAATGCCCAGAGTTCCTCTTCCTCAGAAACTTTGAAAATAGAGTAGGGTGCCATTACTCCGTCAGATAATAAATAAATTCGCATCGGACAGTCAGTGGAAATAAATGTATTGCAGTTAATGCATTTCTGCTCTTTCACAAAATTAATGAGCTATCAGAATCTTTGTCAATGAAGACGTTGCATTGGGTCATTCTATTCTAAAGTGGCAACCTCGTTTCCGTAATATGACGTAAGTATATCGGTGAAAGACTGGCTAATAAAATAACTACAAATAGCAAAATTGACGATTTCAGAATCGCTCAACTTTTGATAGAAAGCAATACCTAGTCGTTGGGGTTGGACCCGGGTGCGTAAAGCCAAACCCCTGTATACTGTGTAGTACAGAGCGCGCGGTCCAGAAGATGCTCTGTATTACTCGGGGCTTTGTTTTCGATTACGCTGGATCGTGTCGAACAAACCCCCTGTGACGTACATAGCACAGAGCACAGAGGAGGAATGTTGGTGGAAACAACAAGGACAAACCTTCAAATCTAGGCTTGATAGAGTCTCAGTTAAAGAGGAAACATTGCCGAAAGACTAATTGGTTTTTCTTTCCTATCTCCAAACCTTAGAAACTTTTAGCTCAAATATAAGGTTTAAATAATTTTGATGCATATAGAGCGCTGGTAGCCCTTTTATTCAAAAGTTGCTAAGAGTAAAAACGGCTTGTAGTTGTAGCAATCAAAATTATGTTGGTAGGTACAGTTTGTGTCGCAAATGGGCAACACGTAACATTTTGTTAAAGAATGGCATGACATATTGAAAGTCAGTGATTGGTCAGTAATTGTGGTCAGTAACTTGTCAGTAGTCTGCCAAATAAGTGCGCGTATGTCTATGTTTTGCTCCTCAATCATTCCAACAACTGAAATAATTATAAGTTTTTTTTCACTATCTGTGTTTCATTACTACCACCGACTTCCTCCCTAAGTTATGCGGCCCAGCAGGTCTAATATTGTGGTAGTTATTTGAGGTTTTAAGTTTTTTCGTACAGTGTCACAATGAAAAAGGAAAATGGAGGTGATCGCTAGCAAATTAAACAATTCCAACTGGAATGTGTAGAAATTTGAAGCTAAGCTAGTGTTGACGGCGAAGGAGCTCTTTGAAATTACCTGTGGTAATGATTTCATAGGTACCTGAAGGAGATGCAACGACGGCTGCTAAATGGAAAATACAAGATGTCCGTGCCTAAGAAGCACTTGTTTTTCGAATGGTAGAAGACATCATATCCCATGTAATGCATTGAAGAATTGAGTTAGGATGGTGAAACCACACAAGAAATGTGGCAAAAATTGGAGAGCATCTTCGAGAGAAAATCAGAGGTCTGTGTTCACATGTTGAATGAGCAATTTTATAACCTAAAGGTCCAAAATTAAACAATAAATAGTTTCATTTCCAAAGTAGGTAACAAATTTGCAAGCAAAGCGGAAACAATGTGGTCAAAATATTCCTGAAACAATGATTCTTACGAAAATCATAATGGGGCTTCCTGACAAGTTTAGTCATTTCCAGTCAGCATGGCATGGGAGAGTGTTAGCTCGCAAAGTCAAACTCTGAATAATTTTTTGATAGCTCGTCTTTTAATTGAAGAGGAGCGACTGACAAGAGACAAAGAACAATCTGTGGCGTTCTCCTACGGACATAAGGAGTAGGAGGAACGCGCCATTCTGCTTATGAAACTAAACTGGATCCAAGCTTTTGGCAGGTGTTTGGCACCAAAATACAGGTAAAGCATTGATTGCCTATAGATACGGCCATTTTTTTGGTGCCAAAACACCTGGAAAAAAAACGGCTTCATTTTCCAACTCCACCATGTTACTTCTCTTCTTTACCTTTACCTGCTCTGAGGTGGCACTGATGACCTGATGACATTTCACCGCGCAACAACAGCGGGTCAAACGTCAAAGCAAAATGTAAACAATGGCCGAGTTCGTTTTTGTCATCTTTTTCGTCGATTTGCTCTGAAATTTTGACAGGCACGTGACTGGATAAGACAGTTTCAGTTTAAAAATCACGTGCCTGTCAAAATTTCGGAGCAAATCGACGAAAAAGATGACAAAAACGAACTCGGCCAATGTTAACCGAAACCGAAAATGTTTTGTTTGTAAAGTCCGACAAATACCCTGCGTTTTTATTCTCATCAAATTTTACCGATGGATCCACCATTCTATGTCGGTCATTGTCATTTTCCATTCACTAAACAAAGATAGCTAACTCATCGGTGAATCCACCGATGAGAATAAAAACGCAAGAATACCATCTTAAAGTCACGTGATATTGGTGGCAAAAAACGTATGTCCATTGATTATGTCGTTGATATGACCTACAAAAAGCTACTGGTGGTTAATTACTATTGAATTTTAAGATATGTTCCCACTAGCATGTTACAAACGCGTTTCTGAAGTAGTATTGACCAATCAGATAATAATTTTAATACTTGCAATTGTTGCGAAACTCATCACTTTTGTCGCATCTGCTGTCCGTTGTAATACATTCTGAACTTGAATGGGGTACCTTTTTTCTATTTGCTTCTTTTCGAGTTGGAAAAAGATTAACATAGTCAAAATTATTAGCTGTGTTTGTTCGGTGTATCATATCATTTTCGAAAATAACTTTGACAAACTAATTGATGACAGTGACGGATTCTATTTCAGGTAAGAATATTATGAACAATAATTAGGAATCAATTTTTTTGTCAATTTTGCTATCACCGCTGTTTGAGATGTATATCCATCATCATGGAAGTCTGCCGCAGTACAACCCATTCCAAAGAAAAGAAAAAAGACAGATCCGTTAAACTATAGACCAATTGCTCTACTTCCGGTGATATCAAAAGTAATGGAAAGAGTTGTGAACAATCACCTAACCAAGTACTTGGAAAAGTACAAAATTATCAACGATAAGCAATACGGATTTCGAAAATATAGGTCAACTGGCGATTTACTTACATACGTCGCTCACGTATGGCAAAAAGCGATTGAGTTGCGGGGTAAAACAAGAACAATTGCCTTAGATATATCTAAAGCATTCGACAAAGTTTGGCATGAAAATCTGCTCAACAAGCTCAAAGCAATGGGATTATCGCCGAAACTTTGCACTTGGTTTGAAAGTTACCTAAAGGACAGATCCATTTATGTTGCACTGGATGGCCAGAACTCCAACTCTTACCAAATAAATGCTGGTGTGCCACAGGGAGCAATCCTTTCGCCAACTCTTTTCCTGATTTACATAAATGACCTCATAGATAAAACAGTAAATCCACTTTATTGCTTTGCAGACGATGGCAATGTAGTCTCCTCACTCATACCACCCACAGGTCTTTCCGCACGTGAATTCCATCATCTTAGACTAACTCAAATATCGCAGATAGATAACGACCTGGAGATAATAGAGGACTGGGGTAACAAAAACCTTGTACAGTTCAACGCGCAGAAAACCCAAGCAGCTCTGTTTTCAAAAAAGACCAGCACCGGTGAGCCAAACATCATGCTATCTGGAAGTGCTGTCACATTACAGAGTCAGTTGAACATCTTGGGGGTTACTGCAGAGACCAACATGTCTTGGCACAGTCACGTGGCAGATATTGCTAAAAGGGCCTCCCAAAAGCTGGGGGTGCTATTTCGTACAAGACATCTGTACACACCAAGCCAATTGCTGACACTCTACAAAGCCCAGATTCGACCAACTATGGAGTACTGCTCACATATATGGAGTGCAGCACCCAAACATACCTTAATGCTTTTGAATACCGTGCAAAAACGAGCTATCAAGCTGATCAATGACCCCGCACTTACTCGTAACTTGGATGGTCTCGAACATCGCAGATCTGTGGGCGATTTATCTCTCTTCTACAGGTACTATCACGGAAAATGCTCTGAAGAGTTGGCACGTATGATTCCACCGAGAGTAGCACCTACCAGGCGACCCGTCAAACAGACGGTAACCATGAATTTACTGTCAAACTAGAGGCACCAAGAACCTCATTATATCAGAATTCATATCTCTGGAGAACAGCATCGCTGTGAAATAAACTCCCTGCGACGGTTTTCCCTGCAGGTTACAACCTGAACCGTTTCAAGACCAACACACACCGACATTTCCGCGCACTTGCGGCTTCTCGAGCGTGATAGGACATTTCCTTGCGAGTGCGCAT